ATGCCAGAGATGATTTTTAAATATCTTTAAGAATGATGACATGTTCTCCAAGGGTTTTTCAATAAAACAGCAAGCAAAGAAAAGAGTGAATGTACTGAAATGCTTAAAAAGCCAACATTTGATGTCTATATTTATTTTTTTTTTTAAATTGGTTTTCTAATTGATCTTGGTGTTTTTAGAAAGGGTCATTCGACCTAAGTGAAGTGACGTCCCTACCCCATGATGCATATAGTTACTATTGTACTCTTCTATAACAGTGGTACACGTTATACAATACCTAACGGTGCATCCAAAGATAAACAAAAAAATAAAATCAAGATGCAACAAAAATATAAAATTAAATTACAGTGCACTCTCTAATTTGAGACCCCTCTAATTCAAGACCACTTTTTCAAAGAACACAATAACAATCATTAATCTTTTAACACAAAGCTAGCCCTCTATTGGAAACTAAACCCCGATACCACCCCGAATTTTCACGTCCCAAAGGTGGTCTCAAATTGGAGAGCGAACTGTATAAAAAAAACAGATTTGCATATTACTCAGATTCAGATTCAACAATATTTATTTCCATTTCAAAAAATAAAAATACAAGGAACATGGCGGCATCACCTAAAAGCATATGCGTGTAGTAAGGATGACATAAAAAATATACAAACATTCGACAAAATGTAAATAAGAAAAATTGAATCATTGCTTTAACTATAAGGAATCGTAAGATGCAAATTACAAAGATTATATATTGAAATAGTGAAAGGAACTGAATAACAGGAAGGAAATTGGTTACAAATCGAAATATACACTATAAAAATTAAATTACATGAACACCTTAATAAATTACAGTGCATATGGGTACTGGATGTAAAGATATTGTTCCAAAATGGCATTTTGCAGCAATAAAAGAAAATTGTACTGAAAATATACGATTCCTCCCAAACTACTTTAATTCTAGTTGTTCATTTACATGCGACAACAATGCCCCTCAAGTTACTCTAATTATTGTAGTATTTTTTACAAGTGATACACACTGCCTCCCAAGCTATTTTAAGTATTTAATAGCAATAGTATAAGTATAATAATTATTGTTGTTTTGTTTACATGTGGTAGGCTGTGGTAAGCCTACATAAATGGCTTACTTTTAAGAAACTGTCTGAATTTAAATCAATCGTCTTATCGGTACTTGGTTATTACTGTGTAGTCATTAATATGTATGAAGTATTTATTTGTTGTTATATTTATAACAGTGCAAGCTTAACCACAGCAACCATTACAAAACAATATTGCATGTGATGTTACAAATATCTGGTTTGGTGTATATTGTATAGTATTATTATATTCATTTGTTAAGTATTAATAACGATGCGGGTTCAGAAACAAAACAAATATTAGGTTAAGTTCAAGCTGCACTGTTATAAATATATTACATTATTATATTTATAACAGTGCATGCTTGAACATAACATATAAAGAGAGCAACATAATTTGATACTAGAATATTCTAGAATAAAATACATGTGATATCAACACTATGTTACAATTACATTGATTAAATAATTTTTATATAACACTGCCGGCTTAAATTGCATGCGCCTCTTTTTGATACTGTGTTACAGTATAACATATTTTGTTAATATATTTATTTATTTTACATTTTATTTATAATAGTGCGGACTTACTGTAAAGAATTATTAGATATTACATTTACAATATAAATAGAAAAATTAATAAATGAAAAAACAGAAGCAAAGAAAAAAAATGTTTATAACACAAACATATGCTACATACAATTTGTAGGCCTATAAGGTCCAACTGACTGAAAAAAAATGCTTTTTCACTCATGTAAAATACAGAGGATTTCTGTGAGCATTACTAACCCCAAGTATTGTGATAGTGACAACCCCAGATGTAGTGATACATATGATTTTTTAGGTTAAGATATAATATTACATACGACAAAGGTGATGGTTTGTCTACCTACTGACAATACCACATCCTTAATTTTCATATAATACACGGACACTGTTGCACACGGGACAAGTGGAATAAAGTTAGTCTTAAAGACAGTGCGCAATACTTTAATACTTAGGCCCTTCAGCTGGAGCACTAGAATAGGTGCTACCCAAGGAACTCGATGGTTCTGCACACAATCGTTAGCTCACGCGAGTACGCTACAGAGCTTTGGATTAGTAATCTGATATAGTAATACGGAATTTCAGTTTCTCCACACAATATTGAAACACTAAAAATTGACAAAATCGTAAACTACAGTAGTGTCAGTTTCCACAGACTTCCGGACCGAAAGCCTACCAAACCGATCAGTTCGGTAGATCCCGGTATGAATGCAGCTAATTTAGGCCTATTACTTGCCACAAGCTCAATAATGGTAATGGTCTTCCATTTCTAGAGCGCATAATACTGTGCTCACTGCTATGTCTGGGCTCTATGGGTTATTTTACCCAGTGGCAAAGAAAAGGAAAGGAAACGACATAAAACAAGAACATAAAAAGATTAGAATTGTAAAACAAGATAAAATTAAATTCAGGGTTTTAAAAAGGCCAAATGAAATCATAATTCTTCTGTTTTCTTACATATTGCCTTTTTTTTTTTTGGGGTGTTTTTTTTCTTTTTCTTTATTTTCTTTATGGAAAATCTATGCTAGTGTAATTCGATAGCCAAAGCACTTTACAGGCCCGTAGCCGGGTTCTTCCAAGGGGGGGGGGGGGGGTGTTCTGGGCGTGGGGTCCACGGTCGAAGCCCCGGCGGGCTCGACGAAATCCCCAAAGCCAGAGGATTTCTGTGTTTTATGGGTCTAAATAATGCTATAAAAGCAGTTATGTTTAAAAACGTCCGAGTCTGGGTGGCTGCAGTGCATTCGTCGGGCTGGTGGACTTGTTTGGGAAATTTAAAATATGCTTTACTGAGTCAGAAGCAGTTTTGAGACCTTTGAAAATGCTTTGGCGACCCAAAATTGGGTAGCGAAACACAGTTTAAGAAGTAGGGATCTATAGTACCATACATAGTCTAAGCATGGTCTAAGCTTGAGCAATGGCCAGAAGAAATTCTCATCAGGAAAGAGATTAATAAACATGAATAGATAAATGCTTTATTGTCATTTATAACTTCTCGGAAATTAAGACTAATGAATTATTCAAGAAAACCATATTCAGCGACAGCATCAATGATGCAATAGCCCACTTGACATTAGCTGGCAATGTTTAAGTGCTGTCGGTGGGTGGAGGTTGTGTGGAGTGTTATTACATTATTAAGCATAAAAAAAACGTTTAAAGTTATAGTAGTTGTATGCATCATCAAAGACCTTTTTTGTTATGTTCACGTAACAGTTAGGGAAGGTGTGATGTCGTGTACAGTGATATTAAAGGAAATATGGTGGTTGTATGGGGTTGTTGTGTACGTATGTTTTTGAAATATTTTGTACTGTAATTATAAAGATGTGTAGCGGTTTATAATTTAAGTAGACATTTTGGTGAGTAAATGGAATTTGTTGCACAGAAGTATTTCATTGTGGTCCTCTAATGAAGAAATATATTTTCCAAAGGCGCATTATAATTACAGATATAGTTTGTGTTTGTTTGTTAGTTAAACATGCAGCTTTGTTTGAGAAAGGCTAAATAACTTCTTGGCTGACGTCAGATCTTGATGTATGTATAAATATTTATGTATATGTATATAGACAAATAAAACATGTAACACTGGGTTAAAGACTCAACATTTTATTGCACAACAGGCTGTTTCATGAGGGGTGCCTCAATCATCAGGTGCTAGGCTCTGAGTGAATGAATAATGAAGTACGTAGATTGTGACAGTTTATCAGAACAAAAGTATGTTAATTACCAAGTATATGTATATATATATA